TGTGGCGGGGGGAGGGGGGTGTGCGTACAGGAGGGGGAAAGGAATTTAAACCCACGCGCATGTAGAGGGCAGTGCCCCAATCTTGGGGTGTAGAGACCAATTCGTCGACGTCGTGGCGGAGATGCAAGGGGCGCAGCGTACTGCGGGCCCAACCAAAATGCAGAATGCAGAATGCAGATTGCGGAAGCCAGCCACCAGGGTTCAAGGTGCAGCGTTGAAGAGAGCCCGACCCAGGAAACGCGCAGCGGGCGGAACCCGGCGCAAGAGCGCGCACACGCGGAAGGCCAGCCGCGACGCAGGGCCACCGCACCCCCCATGGCGCCAAGCCCATGCGCGCGCTGGCACCAATCCAGTAATCGCATTCGTCGCCCTGACACGAAAAGCCAAGCCGAAGGGGAGGGGGGGGGTGTGAATCGACACATGGGCGCGGCGCGTGCACGATGCGCGGCGGGCCCCGCCGCGGGGGCCCTGGGGCCGAGCGGGAGCAGCACAATGCAGAGAGACCAGAGGGCGGGGCGGTGCCGAGCGGCTGGCAGGGGCGCCGGAGCGCCAAGCGGCTGCGGGCTTGCGGCATCCCAAGCAGCCACAGGTGCTGCATTCTAAAGGGGCGCTCCAGGCTCGAGGCAGCACAACGACAGAGAAGACCCCCGCACTTCCAGGCAGCAGAAAAGGCCGCCCGATCTGTGCCGGCGAGGCGTGCAGCGTCGGTCAGCAAGGGCAAAAAAAGGGAAGCCAGGCGGCGCCGCGCGCAGCAGCCGCGTCTGCGAGACCGACGGCCGGCGAGGTGGCGGCCCCTCGCGGCCGCCGCGCCGCGCCGCGCCAGGCCGCGCCGCGGCGCAGGGCGGCGCGGCCTGGTCGAAAGCTGGCGAGGGGAGGGGAGGGTGCACGAAAAACGGCTTCGCGGCGGTCGGCGCCAGTGCTGCCAGTTGGGGGAGAATCCAGAAACGGCCCCGGGCAACCGACGGCGCTCGGCGGCGCGCTCGCCTCGTGGGGGCTAGCGGTTCAGTTTGCAGACCGTCGGGACGCGCAAGCGGCACTGCGACTGGGTGGGCGCCGGGGGCCCCGGCGCGGCGGCCCGGTGCTTGGCCGCCCGGGGCCCCCACCCGCCCCGCATCAGGTGCGTGTGCATGTGTCGGTGGTGTGTGCGCCAACGCGTCTGCAGCTTAGACTGAACCAGTGCCCCCATTGATCTCCAGGAAACCCTTGCCTTTAGAGGCTTCCCTCCCATGCAGTGCCCCTGAGGTGGACAGGGGTGCGCGCCAGCGCCCCCAGACCTCTGAAACGTCAAAGACAAAAACCCACCAGCCCACACGCACGCACACACGCGCACATGTATCATTCATATTCCGATTGTCGGCCCACGCGCTTTGATACAGTCCGTTGATAAAGGGTGGCCTCTCGGCCTCTGAGCGGGCAGGCAGGCTGAGGGGCTCGCGGGAAACGAGCGGGCGGCCCCGCCGCGGCGCCGGGGCGGCGGCGTGCGCCGCCGGGCGGCTGCGACAGCGGCACGCTGCGGGCGCCAAGCCAGTGCAAGTAGGCGTGCGCAAGCGGCGCGTTGCGGGGTCATCTTTCATAAGGGGCGGACGGATAAAGGAGCCACGCGGCCCATCAGGGCCTGTTTAGGTGCGTTGGGGTGTGTGGGCAGCCGCAGCTGTGCGGCACGCGAATACTGCGGCCGATACCGCTGATGGTCGGAGGGGCAGAGAACTAATCAGGTGCGGCAGCGAGGGGCGGACAGGGACCAGGGTAGAATAGGACCAGCCTCCAGGTTGCGGTGGGGCAATATCTTGTGGCGTGTCATACAGACGGCGCGGCGCGCGTGCGTGCGGGGCGTCGGCTTCGTGGGTCGCGCCCCGGGCGGAGGTGGTCGCAGATGCGCATCGACCTTGAGGGCCGCGCTGCGCAGCACGGCGGCACAGCGCGACGGCGCTCGCGCCCAGCGCTCACTCGCCCGCGGCGGGCGCGCCGCTGGCGCCGGCGCCGTCGGCGCTGATGATGTTCGCCAGGAGCGACAGAAGGGTCGCAACGCCGCCGCCGCTCTGCGCCGCGGCCTCGGGCGCGAGCGTTGGCTGCGGCGGTGCCGGCGCTGCCGCCGGCGGGGGGCCCGCGGGGGTGGCGGCCGCGGGAAAGTTGCGCGAGAAAGCGCTGCTGCGGTGGGAGGGCCCCCGCAGGTCGAGGACGAGAGGCGCCGGCTGCCGCTGCTGCTGCGGCTGTTGCAGCTGCGGCTGTTGCAGCTGCGGCTGTTGCAGCTGCGGCGCCGCGCCTTGCAGCGGCGCCGCGTGCGGCGCCAGCGGGACGCTCGCACTGGCACCGCTGGCGCCGCTGTTGTGGGTGGCTTGGAGGTCGGTGTGCACGGTCAGCCCCAACTCATAGCTGTGGGGCCGCCCGGCGCCGGCCCCGCCAAGCTGACCAGCCGGCAGGCGCGGCTCAGGCACAGGCCGCTCGCGCGGCAGCAGCGCGGCCGCCGCGGCCGCGAGGGCGTCCTGCAGCTGCAGCTGCAGCTGCGCCCGCGGCGGCTGCGGCTGCGGCGGGGCGCCGGACGGCAGCAGGGCGGTGATCGCGTTGCACCACACGTTTATCACGTCCGCCTCCATCTCATTCACCGATAGTGCCGCCGCGGAGGGCACGGGCGCGGGCGCAGGCGCGGGCGCAGGGGCGGTGGGCTGCGCCGCGGGGCGGGCCGGCCGCGTCGTGCGCTGCGCGAACAGCGGCACCTCGGCGCCGGCGTGGGGGCGCGCCTGGTGCTGCGGCTGGTGCGGCAGCGGCAGCGACAGCGACAGCGACTGCTGCCACTGCGCCTGCTGCGCCTGCTGCGCCTGCTGCGCCTGCTGCGCCTGCTGCGCCTGCTGCGCCTGCTGCGCCTGCTGCTGCAGCTGCCGCTGCTGCAGCTGCCGCTGCTCCAGCTGCCGCTGCTCCAGCTGCCGCTGCTCCAGCTGCCGCTGCTCCAGCTGCCGCTGCTCCAGCTGCCGCTGCTCCAGCTGCCGCTGCTCCAGCTGCCGCTGCTCCAGCTGCTGCTGCGACTGCTGCTGTGCCAGCAGCAGCTGCTCAAGCACCGCAATCGCCGCAGCGCCCAGGCTCTCCAAGGGACCGAGCGCCGCCGCGGCAGGCGCCTCAGCGCCCAGGCTGCCGCTGCCGCTGTCCGTCCGCGCGCGTTTGGCGGCCTGCGGCGCCACGGCCTGCCACCCGCCGCCGCCGTGCGGCCGCGCTCCGGCGTCGTCCGAGGGGCCGCCCAGCCCGGGCAGCGCTGCCTGGCTGCTGCCTGCGGGCGTCCAAGATGGTTCCGGGAGCATCGAGGCCGACTGCAGGAGCGGG